AATGACTATCGTAATTGAGAAAAGTACAAAAATGAAGAAGAAGAAGAAAAAAAGCTGGCAACAAACGACGATATATAAATTACAGCACCTTGCGAATTTCAATGGAAAAAAAAATTTGCCGAACAACATCGTAGACAAAGAAAATGATTTGGAGTGGGATACAGAAAAGAATGAACCATCGAAAAATGAAAGAAGTGAAAATTCCGAGATTCAAAAACTCGGCTCGATCTCAACAGAAGTAGCCAAGAGAAGAGCATATGGTAATGGTGTTTCCACTCACAATGAAACCAAATGCGCACAAAACAAAAAGCAGCGAACGGCAATGGCAGCAACAGCAATAACAACAACAGCACCGAAGAATTAAGAAAAGTGAGAGTTTCGATTTGATGGCAACACAAACAGAAGCAGAATTTAAATAAATATGCAAACCATGCCCTCCATCAACTCCATGCAAACGTATTATATCTATACTCGCATGCTTCTTTCAAATATTTTCGCTTTTTTTCTCTTTGCTTACTTACCATTCGGTTCGAATGCTTACGTGCCATTCCGATCGCACAGACCATTTCTATGCTCGACTATCACTTTGAGTTATTTTTAATGTGGCCGTCGCCGTTGCCTTTTTTCTATTTATTGCCAAACTGACCACTTCCAACAGCAACAACAACAGCAGAGGCAACCACGTTTCTATTCATACTGATTAGACAATGTAAAATTTCGTTTCATCTTTTACATTTTAATGAATTTCCATCGACGCCCGTTTTAGTATGCAACAAATTGTACTGATTCCATCAGCCAATCCAAAGCGATTCACCGATGGCTATGTTTTGATTTGCAATTATGTAAACATCAACTGAAATGGCGACACATTTGCTTCAGCATTCGCTTTTAATTTTGATGAAACAGTTTTCCGACGAATTGTTTTCTCGTTCGATTAATCAGAATAAAAATTTTTCGGAAAAGGCAATAAATAATCGTACGCTTTGAGCTCAGCATCATGAGTCATACGGGCTGTACGATTTGTGTTTGACCATTCTTGAATCTGGAACAATCGATTTGTGTTTTGCGTTAGTTGCCAAAATGTAACACTTTCTAGTCATTAATAATTTTTACGTTCATTTCAATTCATTCGATTGCTAAGTCATTTTCGACCAATCTACCAACAGTCATCGGATACGGTGATTGTTTAGACCAATCCACTTCTTCAAATCGTGCGCAGTTTGACGGACTTTTACGTAAGATTGTTTTTGGAATATGGAATTATTTTTTTTCTTCACCCATATGATCTGTCAAAAAACACGCAACGCCAAAAAAAGACTAAATCGGCACAGAATGTCGTAGTCGAAATCCATATGGAATTTTCACCGTTTTTATTTGACTATTTCATCAGTGGGAATGGTCAGTGATTTTTTTTTTCTCTTCTGAAAATGGCGAAATTACAAGCAATTCTGTCATTACTCATCATCCGAGAAGAAAAAAAAATAACAACGACTTATAAACCGCGCGGATGATGCGGCCTCATTTCGCCGCTCTTTAAAATTACAAGCAATAAAAAAAGCACAACAGTCGAAATGAAGAAACATCCGAAATTCATATCCGTGTGCAGATCTTAAATGATCTCTCATTAATTCAGCCAAACGCTATGAACAAAAAAAAAGAAGAAGCAACAACACAACCAGATCTTTGTATTCATCAATTTGGAATTTTTCTCTTCTGTTGAATATATAAGCATATTTGGTTTAATGGGAACTTTATTTTATTCATACGATATGAATGTTTTTTTCTTTTATTTCTTCTCTTTTACTTTCATCGCAGTGTGGTTGAACGTGAGCTTAACGTACCGTTACCGCTATCGAAAATCATCAAAAAATGGAATAATCTGCTGCAAGAATACAAGGTAAGTGCTTTTGATTACGTGAATTATTCGGTATTCATTTGAATGAAAATGCCGTGTTGTTGTCCCGGGAGAGAGTGTGTGTGTCTATAAGAGACCAATCACCCTTCTTCTCATCCTTTTCTCTCTACCTTCATACTCGATGCGTTCGTATGGCTTCGAATCATCCATCGTCAATGACGTGAGTGTGTGCCTGGTGCGTTTGAATAATTTCCAAGAATTCAAACGTTAATTTACGTGCGCGTATATGGATTACAAAAAACCCCAAGCAGCTTTTTTTTTCTTGCTCTTTCTTTTCGTTGGCTTTGGCCATTTGTAATGTGCTGGCCATTGTTCGTTTCTCAAGATTTTCACCTCTAACCGCGCGTACATTCGTGCTCACAACCGACGAACAGGCTGTCGAGCTTCGCTGTTCGCTATTCGCACAAGTGAAAGTTTTTTTTTTCTGTCGTCATTTATGATTTTCGCTTGATATTCACTCGATGCAGTGTTTATTACACAAAACTCCGAACTAAATAAGCTGATCTTGTTTACTTTCAATCATTCCTTTGAGTCGCATGTGTAATTAGAATACTTACAATAAAAATAACAAGTTCGACCTCAGTTGTTGAGAGCGTGAGCACGAGCGCACGCGCGCGCACATATTGATCGAGCGAGCGAGCGGAATGCACGGATAAATGCGATAAACATTCACATTGAAATCCATATTTATTACGTGCATGAGACGAAAAATCTGAGTGAATCTGTCGGCGTGTAAATCCTGTTCAAGTTGCAGTGATAGTGTCGACTAATTTTATTTACAGCTTCGTGTATGCTTTTTTTCTTCTGTGTTTTGCTTCCACAAATGTTTCAATCGAACTGTAATCAAATTGCACACCGAAAATGACGATTCGACGGAAATGTTCGATTCATCGAGAAGAAGGGAAAAAAAATTTGCCAGTGATTTTATAGCTCAAGCAGATTAGCGAGTAGAAATGTGAGCTCTAACCATTTCCAACGCATCGAAATGCGCGCGGAGCAGAATGCAATCGCATCACGAAATAGCGTTAGAGATAGAGATTGAGATTGAACGAGAGAGTGCAAGAAAGAGAGGGACGCCGCATAGCAGATAGATAGATGTAGATGCATATACAAACAACAATCGCACGTTTAATCTGTTTTTAATTGTATGCAATCACTGCACGTTGTGTCATTCACTTTTAACCGCGTTGAAGTTCAATCGAAACTATTTTTCTGAACTTGAAACTCAAATGAAACGCGCGATAAGCGCTACAATGTGTTATTTTTCTTCTTATGTGCATAGAATCTAATCAGAAGATGTTTGCGATTTTATTTATAACAATCAATCGACTTGATGCAGCCGATTCGCTTTAGACTCGATCAGTAATGAAATTTCAATTATATGGGCCAAAGCCAGAATTAAATCATAACATTACGTTATTCTAAAGCGGAAATGAGTACCGAAATTATGTGTGTTAATGGAAGACAGAGTCAAAATTATGAACGTCCCATGTCCAATTGATGCGTTAGCTGCACAAATGTTTAAACGAAGACAAAATTACAAATTGCTACATTGCATGAATCCTACGATAGTTTCATGAATAAGGTCATCCAAACACAATGAAGAAAAACGGTTCCGAAGTACATTTGAAAAACGAAGACATAGAGAGAAGAAACGAAACGAAAGACAAAGCAGAAAGAGACGACCAAAGGCATACTTCTGTCGATGTTCTTGACGAAGAAATAACAAACGCAGACGAAGGCAAGTGTGAGAGAATGTAAATGGCTTATCAGCAGCTATAATTTCGATCAAGTATGTCATAATTGAGTGTGCACAATGCCACTGTGTACATTTGGCTACATGAACGATTGCGAGCGCATGGGATGGCAGGAATGTGTCGCATGTGTGGATTTAGCGCGATTCATTCGAAATCAAGAGGCGACACAAGAAGAGGGGGAGAGGGAGAGAGAGAGAGAGAGAGCGAGCGTAAATGAGTACGAGAGCAATAAATAGAGGAGGAAGAAACAACAATAAAATTGAATAGAACAGAGACTGTGTCTAATCAGTGATTATAGAGTTTTTGTCTTATCTTAAATCGGTTTTTCTAATGTCGACAGATAGAACACATAATCAAAGTCTAGGTCTAACGTAAGTGCAAAAATAGGACTTTATACAATCGGCCGAAGCGGGCGAAACATAGAGAGTGCAAAGGCGAGAGAGAGAGAGAGAGAGAGAGAAGGAAGGAAAGAGAGTACAACGGGCGATATTTTTCTATTTCTATTTTCTAGTTTCTATTTCATCTATAGTTGTGTGTATACAATGTAATTGCTATCACTGCAAAAGCAAACACCATTTGCACAGCACATGAAACGCAGGCCACGAGAAACTGAAATCGACGAAAAGCAAAAAAGAAAAAAACGAACGAAGAATACAACAAAGAATGACGCGTTTAATGACAGATTTGAATTATGTCAATAACCAATAAAAACTAAACGACGCGCGATCGATGCGCGCGTGCGCCCGCACTCCTAACGTAATTGAATTCTGATTCTTTTGTTGAAAATGTGTTTGCCGCGATTTTCATTCGGGTGTTTTGCCATGATGATGAAAATTGGTGTGTCGTTTTGTCTTTTGTTTTTCTTCGCATTGATAAACATGAAATTTCGGTGCGTTTTGCCACAGAGCTTTTCTAGGGCAGATATGGTGCCTATTATTATCATTGTCGAAATCATATTATGATGTCTATGTCGACACAAAGAATATCACAAAACGTTTGGGGCTTTATTTTGAATTTCAGTAGAAAATCTATATATTAATAACAAAACACCAGAGAAGAAAAAAAAATTCTTATCTTTTTTCTTTTGATGTATCACCTCATTTATCTCTCTGTGTGTATGGTGTATTTTTGAGCTGAATCACATCGTGTCAATTGTAAGTGTTTGAAATTTTGATTCGTCCTCATTTTTATATTTTGGTTTTTGTTTTGTTTTGCGATTGCAGCCAACGTTTTACCTAGGCAAATGTGATATCCGCATCTATAGAAAGAAAAAAAACACACCATATACACACAAGCCCAATCATTTCGTTCGCATTTTATGGACAGTATATTGCGTGATGAAACACTTGGTCGGCTGGCACAATTCTCGCAATTATATAATCATTTGTTCTAATCTACATTTCTTGCCACAATCGTATCTCGCAGTGTGCGAGAACAAAGCAAATTATCAGTCCAGCAGCGCGTTTTTTTTTCTCTCGTTCTCTGTTGTTCTCCATGCTGATGATATTGTGTGTGTGTGTGTGTTTACTCGAAATGAAAAGTTCCAATTTATTGACTGATTTTTGTCATTGTTTTCATTCAAAGCTGATTCATGTCCATTCAACTTTACAAATACAATCTATATTGTCAACATTTGAACAACGCATCGATTTCAATCACCAAATTTGTGTATGACCATTGTATGGAATTTTGGATGTGGAGATAACAAAATTCTAGTTGTTCAATTCATGTAAACGCTTCCTTGTAAATCGATGTTGTGTTTATCGAAATGTTGCTGATTTCCATTTGGCATGGCCGATAATTGCTGCTGACACCGTACGGTCTATGCCGCGAAATTCCACTAATTTCGGCTTACTGTACGGTGTATACTACACACGACACGACAAGCACATCAAAATTGTGAATTGTTTCGTAATCATGTGATAAAAAAAACAAGCATTTGGAGCGCTTGGCCAGAATTGCTAATACTGCGTTCGTTGTAAGTGAGTGAGTGAGTGTGTTTATCTTCCTTTCTCTTGAAAACGTGTGTTCGTTTGCCAAATGCCTCATTTGAATAAAATATTGATCAAATAAATCTCTTATCGATCTGTGTGTGCATTTGTCAAAATGTGTGACCAACATACTTGGTGATGACCATTCGCCCGCCGCGCTTCAGCCACATAAACTCAAAAAAATAACAACAAAAAACCACCGATTTCAAGCACGAATTACAATGACGAGAAAATAGAAAGTTTCCTCGCTTCAACTCTCCGTCGTCGTATGATTGTGTGATTTTTTTTTTCTTTCGGAAATTTCGATTCTTAAATTTGGTGTGTGAGTCGCGTATATTAATCATATTCGTGATGGTCATAATGCTTTTTGTCTGTTTCTCAAATGACGAACACAATTCGCCATTAACATTGTTCAAATTTGTCACGTAAGAAAAAGAAGGAGACAAAAAACGCACATTATGCATTGAATTGTCCACTTTTCCATAGTGTCATTTTGTGTTTCTATTAAAATTCAACAAGAAAGATAAAACAATACAACCGAAAAGAAAATTGTCAACCAAAATCGAGTTGTTCCAAAAAAAAAAAAATCAGCTCCAAGCAGCCACTCTTGCATGTTACGCATTGAAATGATCACGTTTGTGATTCGCATCGAATTGTAATAAATGTTTTCTCATCGGAATTTAATTCTTTGACCAAAATACAATTATTGATTCGTGAATTTACGAAATAAGAAATCCATAGTCATGTCAATGCATGAAGCAAACAAAGAAGAAGAACGACGAAAGCTGATTCAAAAGAAAAATTATGGGAACAAAGAAACCAGCGAATACTTGAGCATGATTCAGTGCGGAATATGCGTAAAACGTACTCGATCTGAAAGTAAAATCACTGACACACTTTTCTCCGATGGAACGAACCAGCACGTTTATGCACGCAAAAACTGACCCACTCATGATGTCATCCCGAAAAAGACACACGAAAAGAATATGATATACATATTTACGGTTATGTTTCGCACACACACACACACACACACACGCGTGCTTGCTTTGCATGCTTTTTTCGGATTTTAATTTCATTTTTGTTTGACCAACATCTGAATCTGAACGAAGTAGAAGCAAAAGAAGTCGAAGAAAAAAAAGCACACGAAATGTTTCGGTATCGCTTCAAGCAAAATGGTCTCTGCTGGAATGGAATTGAGTGAAGCGAGCTACCATCATCGGTGGGGAGCAAG